ACCTGTGGCGTATGTAGATGCGGTGTGCATTAAACGCGCGTACATCAGCCTCGAGCTGTATCCTGCGTCCTCCACTCTCATCGTTGCCAAACAATCACCGTGATCGTGGAGGTTGGCGAAAAAATTCGTGATTAACGAGTAGAATTAACGAGAAAACAAACGGTCCCAATGTACACACTTTTTCTCATGATCACCAAAGAAGTATTTAATTATTTTCTAATTAATTAAATATACAACTAGGCTCTATTTAAATTAAAACAGAACTTTAATCTCATGTAAATTCTAAATTCTATGTTGACTAATAAAGACAGCTACCAATGAAGATCATATAGTTAAAGCAAGATAAAACGATAGACGACTAAATTAATCAGAAAATAATCTGGTAGCAATTTTTCTAACGTCGCCCACCATATACGTGTCCTCGTCAGATTTATCCGGACGACCGTGAAAACGAGTGCAGCTGATCATCCTCAGCATTTCGATCCCGATTTGCCCTCGGCTAAAAGCTCGACCTGCATCGCCATTTTTAGTCACGATCTGGAGATCTCATTCGCCCCCTTGTGCTGCACAGACGCTTCTCCGAGCAAGGCCATTTTAATAGCAGAGACATTTATCATGCGAGCAGAAACAACACTGAATGTCAAATCTGTGGATGGACATCAAACAATTTCAATGGCAAAGGTCCATTGGACGAATCAGGGGATACGGAGAGTATTCATAACTATTTCAGAATTTAAATTCAAGTTTCATCCCGAATTTGCATTTCTTGGACTGAGAGTACCCTGTGCATGCTACAAGATATTTTCCTTTGTTTCTTGGTTGGTTTGACTTTCGTTTGATCCATGTTACTTGTTTACTCTTGGTGAAAATGAAGCTTGGAATGTTTTACTGATTTCATCGATCGAAGATATATTTTTGTCCAAGTTCAGAATGAGCGAATTTGTGATAAGCGAACATTTTTTCGCTTGCACTCGAATTAGCATAAAAATCAAAACGTGTACCGAAGCACAAGCTGGTAACCTAGTAACAATAACAGGGACGATAATAACCCGTTTCTTGGCAAACAATTGTGGTCGAAGTTTCCAGGAACAGTAGGTACCGTGGTCGGTTCTCGTCCGTCATGTAAAATGTACAACTGGTCTGTCTTTTATCCGTTGTCGCGCTTGATCGCCGCAAAAACATGCACTTCCTCCTCGCGCAAAGCGTTTAATCGTAGATCTTCCTGTACAACCAGTCGCGTCAGTCGGTTCGTGCCGTTTCCTTTCGGAGAATAGCGAGACGAAACCGCAGTTGTTTAATGGCACTGACCATTACCCCGGGACGGGGAGGTTTTTTCGGTGTATCAGATTGAATCTGGGAAAATACCGAGACATTAGGTACGAGGCCGCAAGAAACGCGGGAAACTAACAGAACCATATGGATTGTCTGATGACACTGGCTCGGGACAAGTATCTTTTTACCTATTTACAGTGTCGAAGCGTTAAGCGTTTGAAATTAAAGGACGCATAAGAAAAGCCGAGGATGACGATGGATATTACGCGAAAATAACGGATCAGTTTAATTCGTATGGTAATTCTGCTGCATCATCCGCTTGGAGACCATCCGCTGTCACCTGAGACCCTCTGTACTCTAAGCAGCACTTCTAGGTTTACATTCGTCGACACTGTTGTTGCTAGGGGAGTCCTCTTACGTTTTTCATATAATCGTAATCAATACAACTCGCAGCTAAACCACACTCGATACCTTGTTATTTCTGATCCCTGCAGGAAATCCCGCAGTTACATGCTTCGAGTCCCATTGATTTGTCTCCCTTTACGTTTAACTTGCTAACTTTCAGGCTCGACGCTTTTATAGGTTAGAAACTGATATCTGTTATTTGTGGTACATTATTTTATGCATGTGGATTGCATCCAGACTTCTAGATCTCTACGTCCTTTAGACCTTTAGACCTAGTATCAAACTTACAAACTTGTGGTTATAACTTTCTGAATTATTGCTAGTCGAAAATAAAATTAGAAGTGTAAATCATCGAGGAAGCAAAAACGTAATGTTCAGAAAGAACCAATAATCGAAAGAAGTGCTCTTTGATTCAAACATAAGGCAGGAGCAAATACTGGTAGCACGGGGTGAAATGAATTGGCACCGATGGCGTGTGGATCGAATTGATTTCTCTTGCTCCATTAAAAGCCTTAAATTCGTCGGGTATTTCTGCTCGAAATCGCGTCTTGATAAAGACGAGAAAAAGCGGCGGCGAACGGCCAGGTCCGACGATGAAAAACGAGAAGGTTTGCGAAGAATCGTCGCGGAACGAAGTAAGGACAAGGAGAAAACGTCGTTGAAATATTAAGGCGAATTCTCGTGCTTCTTGGACTTGACATTCTGTAACGACATATTTTTGTATTATCGCTCTTCTCGCTTCGCTCCAGTTCGTTTCAGGTCAAGTTTCAAGGTTCCATTTGTGTTTCACGCTGGCTCTTTGTTCGTCTCTCTTTTTACCTTCACAGCAATAAACTTTATTTATTTATTATTTTGTGATAGAATTAGGGTTAGTGATCAATCTCGTACAGGTTTTTTAGCTGCCTTTGTTGCGGATTTGCATTCCAGTTGCCATGCTCTCGATCTATTTTCGATTCCTTTATTTTTATCCTCTGCACCAGTCGATCAGAATTTACGAGTCGTGCGATTCTTTGAAGCCAGATCGAAGCCATAGCACCTCGACATCTGTTCGGGGCCTTCTGTCGCCCAAGAAATTTATTTTTTTCGCGTCCGTTGAATCGCTGCCAACAGCATTAATGAATCTTAACTGTCTGTCAGCTGTCCACGAGATTACTAGCCCGTGATAAATCCGTTCGAATCTTTGCAGAAATAGACGCGAATCGACTTTGAGCCACTGTTGTCCTTACTTCTATCTACTGCTCGCTAATTGTTCATTCGGTTATAATGTTAGTCGAGTATTTCGAACATTCGGAAATTTTCGTATGAAACCATTTGCATCGTGATAAATTATCCAACTAAATATACTCCTATCTGAGGACACAATTCATAGACACGAAAATATGCAAAAACTAAAAGTATGTCTTCGATGTGGTAGCATGTTTCACGGTGTTAACAGACAAAACGTAAAGAAGCTTCTCAGAAGTGCGTTCAATTTCAACACGCTTTCTGCGAGACCAATGATATCACACCCTCTAAAACGTAAACAGGCCAAACATCGAGAGACATGAGAGTGTACATTGTAAGTACACAATCAGTCTGGCCAAATGTGGCCGCGAATGGCAGCGTATGTACTCGCATGAACAAATCGTGCCTTGCTTTTGTGGCCTTTACGACGTGTAAATCACAAAACGTGAGACGCCAAGGATCCCCACGTACACGACTGCGCTATTAACGTGTCCCCGATGGTTTTACGACTCACATGGCCCCTCTTTTTAGCCCTCGATACATCTAAACGAACAGCTACAATTTTTCGTATCAATTTATACATATCATTTCCTCCTCCGTGAGGTAAGGTCAGCGAAACGCAGCTGCTTCGAATTAAAGTCGCGAAAGACAAGCATTTCGATTGAAATTATATAGGAGACCATGTGTATGTCGAACAGTTTTATTTTTGTGGGTAACTTTTGGTTTATTGCGTCTTTTGGGAGGACTTTTGTGAATGTGGGGGTAGAACTATTGTTGGGACACGGGGTTGTCGGAGAGTAGATTGATACGTGGTTGGCCATCATATGTTAAGTTCACATATTAGATTGTTAGCTGTGGTGTGATGCGTTAGATTGCCATGCTTGGTATAGTAACGCGTTGGATCTCAATGCGTGGAATAGCAACGCGTTAGATCACCATGAGTGGCACAGTAACGCGTTAAATTGCAGCGGATAGGATCTCCACACGTGGTGTAACGCCACGCATGAAGTAGTAACGCGTTAGATCTCCACGCATGGTATAGCAACGCGTTGGATTTCCACGCGTGGAATAGCCACGCGTTAGATCTCCACGCGTGGTATAGCAACGCGTTGAATTTCCATGCGTGGAATAGCAACGCGTTAGATCCCCACGCATGGTATAGCAACGCGTTGAATCTCCACGCTTGGTATAGCAACGCGTTAGATCTCCACGCATGGTATAGCAACGCGTTGAATCTCCACGCGTGGTATAACAACGTGTTGGATCTCCACGCGTGGAATAGCGACGCGTTGAATTTCCATGCGTGGAATAGCAACGTGTTGGATCTCCACGCGTGGAATAGCGACGCGTTGAATTTCCATGCGTGGAATAGCAACGTGTTGGATCTCCACGCGTGGAATAGCGATCTCTATGCGTGGAATAGCAACACGTTGGATCCCCACGCGTGGTATAGCAACGCGTTAGATCCCCACGCATGGTATAGCAACGCGTTGAATCTCCACGCGTGGTATAACAACGCGTTAGATCTCCGCGCATGGTATAGCAACGCATTGAATTTCCATGCGTGGAATAGCCACACGTCGGATCTCCATGCGTGGAACAGCAACGCGTTGGATCTCTATGCGTGGAATAGCAACACGTTGAATCTCCACGCGTGGTATAGCAACGCGTTGGATCCCCACGCGTGGTATAGCAACGCGTTGAATCTCCACGCGTAGAATAGCAACGTGTTGGATCTCCACGCGTGGAATAGCGACGCGTTGAATTTCCATGCGTGGAATAGCTACGTGTTGGATCTCCACGCGTGGTACAGCCACGCGTTGGATCTCCATGTGTGGAATAGCAACGCGTTGGATCTCCACGCGTGAAATAACAATGCGTTGGATCCCCCCGCGTGGTATAGCAACGCGTTGGATCCCCACGCGTAGTATAGCAACGCGTTGGATCTCCACGCGTGGAATAGCAACGCGTTGGATCTCCACGCGTGAAATAGCGACGCGTTGAATTTCCATGCGTGGAATAGCAACGTGTTGGATCTCCACGCGTGGAATAGCGACGCGTTCAATTTCCATACGTGGTATAGCTACGTATTGGATCTCCACGCGTGGAATAGCAACGTGTTGGATGCCCACGCGTGTTATAGTAACGCGTTAAATTACCAGGTGTTGGATCTCCACGCGTGGAACAGCAACGCATTATATCTCCACATGCGGTATAGCAACGCCTTACATTACCATGCATAGTATTCACTTCTCTCAATTCTTAAGCTAATCTAGTTATATAGAAATGTTCGAAGATTTGAAGATAATAATTCCACAATAAATTAAGTTAAAAGTTTGCAGTAAGTTCCGGCACTGTACAATGGAAATGGCATCATGCACGCAGGGTCGAGAACAGTGGTTAAATCGAGCTTCTACAAAATGAAATCAATTCCATGAAGTGAGCCCGTTTTTTACATTGGCCACGAAATTAATACGGAGCATGTCGAATATCAGCGCCAACTGGTCGATCGAAACGGGTCGATTTAAATTGCCTAATTGTAAGTTCCACCCGTTGGTCGTCTTCTGGGTGGAGTCGATCGGTAGTTGTGTTGGCCCGCGGTAGCCGTTGCGCGTAATAGCATTCGGAAGGAGGAGTACAAAAGCAAAAGGAAAAGTATAAGAGAGAGGAACAGAGCAAAGGGATCGAGCGGGAAGAAAGAAAAAACGAAACAGATGAACGAGCATCGGTAGGACGAGAGGCTTACAAGAGGTATACACATCAGAACAGATTAAAATCGTTGAATCTTTCTCCATCTATGGGCCTCGTTCGTCGAAATTGCAACCACCTGTGAGTTACTTTCCAATCGCCATTTTCTTGCGGAGATCTTTCGGAGTTGAATCCTTCAAGGGTGCACAAATATTCAGCACCTCCAGTGCCTCTCGAAGATTTTAAAGTACGAAGATTACACAAGTTCGCAAATGAAGGGAAAAAATATAACGCAAAAAATAGAGTCCATTCTCATACACCGTAACGATCTTGAGCAGGAAAATGGTGCTCCTCGAAGTTAAGCATCATAAAAGATAAGTGAATAATTGTCAGTTACTCGTTCCTGAGATATTGCACCGCGTCCAGTTGAGGAGAACACCCTGTATGTACAGTATACAACGAAAAGATTCGACAAAGGGAACATAGATCGTCCATTTGCAAGGATGAACGCGACGGAGAGGTCGAAAGCAGCGCGAAGGAGTTTCGGCTACCGTTGAAGAAGGAGGACCTTGACATCCGGCGATTATCAGGCTGTGTCCGTACCTGAGCCGTACAGGATGATGTCAAAGCGGTACCGTGGCTCAGGTATATACACACAGCGTTATAGCACACAAGCAAAACCGGTGCACATTATGCTTCTCCGCACACGTGCGCCAACAACGCTGAAAAGTCGAATGCGCACGCCATGGGTACTATGTCTTGTGTTGCTCGCCGTGTACTGTACGTTACTACACTCTACACGAGGACCCAGAGAGATGGAGAGCCAGCAGGAGGACACGAGAGGGCAGGAGGAGTGCCCGTGGTTTTGCCCCTTTTGCCAGTTCTGCCCTTTTTTTTCCTCTTCTTTTTTTTCCTCTTTGTTCTTCCTCTCTCTTCTTTCCACTTCCACCACCTCCGGAGATCTCTTCTGCCACGGTCCAGGGACGTAGCGACCGAATGTCCAGTTAACAGACGTTTACAATTGTTGCGGTTCATCGACTCCTGCCTTTCGAATACTCTCGAATCTCGGAGTATGGTTGATGTTTTATGAGTGTCACCTTAATTCACTAGTTGCCAATCTAGCTGAATTTATTAGCTTATTTAATTAGAATATTATGAGTTTGTCGAGTCCCGTCACTTGGCAACAAGTTTGTCAGTTGTTAATGCAGTTGGTTGTTTCTGGGACGTGGAAAGCGGTGAATTCAATTTGTCAACGGTCTCGTATTTCTACCAGCACGCTGGAACGTCCAGGAACTTAAGACTGGGTTAATTGGTCGGAGTAACTGAATTTTCCCCGGGAGAAAGGTCAGCCTTGAAGAGCATCGGGAGGCAGCTGATCGATCGAGTTACTAGGAAGACTGGTATTGCGGTTAACAACATGGTCGATTGATGACAGGAAACCGTACACATTAGCGATACATGCTGTTTCGTAATCACTTTCTTTTTATTACTGTTTGCTTGTAATAGTTGTATTGGTGGGGTCGCGCGTTCAAAAAAGCGTTGATTCGGAATTTGCGAATTTGAAGTTAGACACTTAAGAATTTGGGAGAATTTGGAAATCAGAAGTACAGATATTGTGAGACTCAATAATCCCCTAAAATCGAAGGCAAGTGATTGGTTCATCTCTCTACACTTGTCCTTATTGAAGGAAACCTATGTTGTACCCGTACCATACTCTCCATAAGGTAAATGATTCTATTGTTCGACATATAAGAACACGGTCTTTATTAGCATATACAGATTTTAGATAAGAGACTATGGGATAGTCCCTCTGAATTTCTAAGTAAATCAAATTCAGAATTGTGGAAATACAAAGTTATTAACCTTCACAAAGTAATAAAAATTACATGCGATGTCCCATTTATTGATCAGTACAAGTCTTTGCGATTATATAAATAAAGTGTTACGTCGTTTAATAGAATAAAACACTTAGTCGATAAGTAGAAACATGATTGCTGATGGATACGTTTACCATGAGCTATCTATTAAGAGCCTGAAAAAGGTGCATGTATATCTTTCCGTCATTAAATTCATGATAGCCTATGAAGAGCTATGCAGAGCAGCATTGAATAAGATTCCCCTTCTATCGTAATCCATAGAACACGTATGAGGCACAAAAGTTTCCACCTTACATCCCTGAGGTCCCCTGTTCGTTTGGCTGGTCTCTTCTTCTTGCAGCCCTCTTCGCTCCCTTCTGCGTTTGCCACGAAGGGTCGGTTTTTTCTTCTTTTTCCTCCACGGTTGTTCCGTCTGTTTTATTCCTTTTGCACGGCGTCACGGCTACTTTTGTTGCGCCTCTCTTTCTTCCTTCTTTTTCCTCTCCTTCTCTTTTCCACCCTCTATTCCTACTATCCTCGACGCTTCGTCTCCGTTCTTCGCGCGGCTCTCGAAACGACTCTCTTCCATTATCGGAACGCGAGGAACGGAGACGAGGCTAGAAAAGAAGAAGAACGAATCTTTCTCTCCTTCTTTTTATCTCGACTCCTTCCATCCACTTCTTCTTCTCTCTTTCTCTTCTTTCCACTCTTCTGCACACACCAGTTGTTCCTTTTGTTTCCAGCAAGTAAGTGAGTCAGTGAGAGAGCGAGAGAATGATGAAGACGAAAACACCGGGGACAGAGAGAGACGGAAAGAGAGGAGAGAACTGGTGATGGTCGACGAGAGAGAAGAGACAGTGAAGCGTGTCTCGACACGCGAGATGCAGGATCGAATTCGACCCTTGGATCCGGATCCACCAAAGTCCCGATCTCTTGGATCATTCTCGATGCGGACGTTTCTTACCCCTTTCTTTTTTTATCGATTTGCCAGCGCCGATTTTTCTTTTTCCGATCATTTCGATTGGTTTATTCCATTCGTGCCACCTGAATGTTTCGATTGGAATATTTTTTGCTGCTTATCGAAATAATTCACACCTTTAACGAATTCGAGTAAATAATGGACGCGAATCGTGCTGAGAAGAGGCTATTTCAATGTTGCGCATCTCTCCCCTGCACACGGTGCGTGCTTCAATATAAATATTTAATGGAGCGGTCTCAGTGCGTATCAAACACGTATAAATAGAGCGTTGTTGCGTGCAGCAAGCCTACTTACACATATCGTTTGTTGGACGCTTTGATAAAGTGACGTTATGCCGTTCTGGAGATAGATCGGAAGGCTATATAACGCGAGCTGATGTGGCTACAGATGATTATAATACATGGAATATACAATGTATGGAGTGAGCTGTTCAGAGTGTTATAACACGTGAGTTCGACACGTGGTGAACTCTATATGTTGCAAATACTACACGTGCTGATTCAACCTGTGGTGAATTCAACCCACGCTGAATTCTGCATACAGCGAATTCTACATGTGAATTCTACATGTGTCGATGCGTGAATACAACATGTGATGAATTCGACCTACACTGAAATCTACACACACAGATTTCGACCTGCACTGAATTCTACACAAGGTAAATTCATGAAGAATACAATGCATGATGAACACAACTCGTAGAAAGTACTTCACATGGTGACATAACGCAAGGTAAATACACCGCAGCCATATAACGCGTGGTGAATACAACTTACGATACAGCGCGTGGTGAATACAATAGGCAACTATGCGTGGTGACATAACTGGAGATAAATACAACGTAGCCATATAACGCGTGGTGAATACACCAGCTAACAATGTGCGATGAATAAAACGTAGTCAACGTGATTTTCATCGACAAACCGTAGATAAAATCTAGCAATCCATTTCGTCATATGATCTTATCCAGTGTTCGATAAACTCATTAATTCATGAGGCATCGAGCGACGATTATAGCGTTAAAACGGTGCGTAAACGAGCTCGGTATGTGGAAGGACTTAATCGGTAGCTCGTTATGCGCATCGTTGTAGTCGCCGGCTATTTAACACGAAGCCGCCCCCTTAATACGGATAGTGGTTCGAGTTCGATGAAGTTGTAAGCATCGGATAGACTCTCGTAGATAGCAGACCAAAGCGAACAAGAAGAATCGGAATGTAAGCGAAGGGCCACTTATTGAACGTGTACTTCTCTTTCCATACGCGAACGCAGATTCACCGTGAAGAGATAGTACTCGTAATTCAGCCGGGCTCATTAATGTCATCGATACCAACCGTGTAATGTGGCTACGATCTTCTCTATTGGCAATGAATGTTCCCTGGGTGCCTACAGTGATGTCATTCGGAACGAAATGGTGGAAACCGCTATGCACTTATGCCTCTTTCCCTTCAAGTACTCTTTTTGTTCTTACATCGTTAAATCTGAAGCATGATACAAATAAAATTTTAATAAATATAAAACTGTATTCTTGTGTTTTGAATTAATATTCATAAATCACATTTTGAACTTTACAATCCTACAGAAATAGGTCAATCGATAAAACTAGTAAAGGGTATATTTCGAACTAACACCAAAATTTGGCGCCAAATGAGAGATAATAAATATCGAAGTTTGAGTCTCGACATTTGTCAAACTTCACGCTTAACGACGTAATATTTATACCCGTCCGGGTCCCCTGTTTTTCGTCCATGAAAAAATACTTCACGAATCATTATGATTCCCGAGTTAGGCACATTCGTTACCGCCGTTGATTGCGTATCATTTCAGACAAACTGCTGCATGCGAGCGTGACGCAGCGGGGTCAACACTCAATCGGTGTACAACGGGAGCTGAATGTGCACCGGGAACACAAAGGAGAGACAAAAAGCTACGGGAGAAAAGAAGAAGCAAAGTGGTGCTGTGCGAGCTACGAAAGGAGCGACGAAGAGGAGACGAAGGCAAAGTGGGCTGGAATATTTCTACGGCGTAAGAGGAAAATTGATGGCACGATCGCGAATGGGTCTTGTTGCTCTCTTACCATCGCAAAACCTACCCTGACGAATCTCCACTTTCATTTTTTTAACTCAAGATTAAAATTATGGCCAGAGCTTTCGAAAGAGGGCTGTGTTCACAGGGTAAAATGGAGATCGGAGTTTGGGAATTTAGGATTATGGAGATTTAGGGATTCGGGAATTTAAGAATTTGGAGATTTAGGAATTCAGAGACTGGAGATTTAAGGATTAAGAGATTTTGGAGTTTGAGAAATTCAAGATTTAAGAAAATTCCTCAAGTTCCAAATTTCCACATTCTTCCCCAATTCAAGATTTTTCAATTTCCCAAATTTCCAAGTCTGAAATAACAGATTCCCAAAATGGCGACCAGTGTTCCACCATTCTACAAATATTTAAAACCCTCAAATATTGGCAAAATCCAGTGTCCATAGCAATGAAGAGGTTTCAAATAGAATCTTATCGTGTGCAACAACCTGACGATTGTATTGTTTATTTTCCGTACACGTTGATGCATCGATCAATGATTCATTAACGCCATTAGAGACCCTACCCGCAGGACTCGCATACAATCGCCTATAACCGATCAATAGAAAAGCGCGATGCGAAGAGACGAAGATAAAGTGTTCTTATGGGAAGTTACGAAACAACGTGGGCAGCAACAGTAGAAAATGGCGTGGGTCGTGACGGGTTGAGACCAGGTGGAACGTGTTTAAACAAGATACGGCCAGATAAGACATCACCGAAGCTCTCTGTACGGAGATACTCACCGAAGACACTAAATGACCAATGTCCAAAAATCGATCGAAAAAGGGTCGTATAAAAATTTGGGAGATAAGTAGCATAAGATTAAATTTCTCTAGAGCTCGTGCGTTTAAGGCCTCTGTCCGATTCATGAGTCACGATTTCATTACATGAACCCATTGAAAGATCTAGACTCTATGCATGGGTGACGAAATTGAGCCAGACCACATCGTAAGCACGCCATTGTGATTAGTTCCGTTCGGGGATCGAATCGTGACGGAGAGAAAGCGTTGGGTGTTCCAATGGTGACATAAATTACGGACATAACGTTCGACGGTTATGGATCAGAATTTTTTTAACACTAGAACTACCAGCACTGAATGCTCTTTTGTCGAAGAATGAAAAATAAATAAATACTAAAGCATCGAGTAACATATGGAACTAGTTCTTACCTCAACAAAATATGACAGAAATTTCCATAAAATCGCGACAATAAAATTTTGTAACATAAAATGAGAAATCTGAAACCGGTCATTTTGACTGGTTGGTAGTTCTAGTGTTAATCATAATCCATAGCTGAATTCTATAGAGAAGAATGCTAGTGTAGAACACTGAGTTAGTCGTTAGTTAGTTGGTGTTCGAATTTGTAGGGTTTGAAGAATTTTTTTAACAATAAAACTACCAACAGTGAATGCTCTTTTGTCGAAGAATGAAAAATAAAAAAATTGATGGCACGATCGCGAATGGGTCTTGTTGCTCTCTTACCATCGCAAAACCTACCCTGACGAATCTCCACTTTCATTTTTTTAACTCAAGATTAAAATTATGGCCAGAGCTTTCGAAAGAGGGCTGTGTTCACAGGGTAAAATGGAGATCGGAGTTTGGGAATTTAGGATTATGGAGATTTAGGGATTCGGGAATTTAAGAATTTGGAGATTTAGGAATTCAGAGACTGGAGATTTAAGGATTAAGAGATTTTGGAGTTTGAGAAATTCAAGATTTAAGAAAATTCCTCAAGTTCCAAATTTCCACATTCTTCCCCAATTCAAGATTTTTCAATTTCCCAAATTTCCAAGTCTGAAATAACAGATTCCCAAAATGGCGACCAGTGTTCCACCATTCTACAAATATTTAAAACCCTCAAATATTGGCAAAATCCAGTGTCCATAGCAATGAAGAGGTTTCAAATAGAATCTTATCGTGTGCAACAACCTGACGATTGTATTGTTTATTTTCCGTACACGTTGATGCATCGATCAATGATTCATTAACGCCATTAGAGACCCTACCCGCAGGACTCGCATACAATCGCCTATAACCGATCAATAGAAAAGCGCGATGCGAAGAGACGAAGATAAAGTGTTCTTATGGGAAGTTACGAAACAACGTGGGCAGCAACAGTAGAAAATGGCGTGGGTCGTGACGGGTTGAGACCAGGTGGAACGTGTTTAAACAAGATACGGCCAGATAAGACATCACCGAAGCTCTCTGTACGGAGATACTCACCGAAGACACTAAATGACCAATGTCCAAAAATCGATCGAAAAAGGGTCGTATAAAAATTTGGGAGATAAGTAGCATAAGATTAAATTTCTCTAGAGCTCGTGCGTTTAAGGCCTCTGTCCGATTCATGAGTCACGATTTCATTACATGAACCCATTGAAAGATCTAGACTCTATGCATGGGTGACGAAATTGAGCCAGACCACATCGTAAGCACGCCATTGTGATTAGTTCCGTTCGGGGATCGAATCGTGACGGAGAGAAAGCGTTGGGTGTTCCAATGGTGACATAAATTACGGACATAACGTTCGACGGTTATGGATCAGAATTTTTTTAACACTAGAACTACCAGCACTGAATGCTCTTTTGTCGAAGAATGAAAAATAAAATGAAAAGGAAAATAAATAAATACTAAAGCATCGAGTAACATATGGAACTAGTTTTTACCTCAACAAAATATGACAGAAATTTCCATAAAATCGCGACAATAAAATTTTGTAACATAAAATGAGAAATCTGAAACCGGTCATTTTGACTGGTTGGTAGTTCTAGTGTTAACCATAATCCATAACTGAATTCTATAGAGAAGAATGCTAGTGTAGAACACTGAGTTAGTTGTTAGTTGGTGTTCGAAGTAGGGTTTGAAGAAATTCGAGAGGAAGGAATTATTTCACTAAGCATCCCAAACTCATCACCTAAAATCTAAGCGTTAAAGATCAGACAGTCTTTCGGTGGCAAAAAAGTCGGAGCCGTCTCGTCTGGAATTAGCGAAAAAGTCCCTGGCGGTGATTAGGAGGACCCCTTTAAAGACGATCGAATTACACGGTTGCGCGGAATTCCCCGTACGGGACGATTTGTAGCAGTAATCCAGGCTTACCGTTCCCGGTGCTTGGATGCGCTTTAATATGATTTAAACCTACCACCGTGTTGGCTACCGTGTTACGATCGTGAGGCTGTGTTGCGGCTGTCTTATACACGGTGCCTCCAGTCGAAGTCCTTGAGAGAAGTCGAGATCGGGGCGTGATGAAGCGGGACAACGATACACACGCGTGCGTACACGCAAGAAAGTGGCGCGTAAAATACGTAGGCGAGGAGGTACCGGTTTTTTCCTGGGCCCACTACTGCTGTTCCTCTTTGAATTTTAAATCTTTCTTGCTACCGAATGCAATTAAGCCGCATTCAACTGACGGCCAAAAAAATTCGAATTCGCCCCATTAAACCGCGACCGGTACTCCCTGGCCGCTTTCAACGCTCACGCGTTTATTTACCTATCGGTTGCACGTGAACGTGCAACTTATGTCGATTGCAACCTCGTTTCTAACTTTCTTTACTGTTCTCTCCCGTTACACGCTTTCGTGTTTTGTGACAACCTGTACTAATTTCTGTGTCCGCAACGATCAATAAATATCGAGAAATCTTCGTTATAATCGTTAGTTCTTGAAACTTACAGATTTCGCCTAAAAACTTAACGTTACTTAACTTTACAACTAGCGTTTCAACAACGTAAGTACAAGAGTACTAAGTACCCCAAGAAATAGCAGATAAATGTGGAGAAATAAAGTAAGTGGTAGAACATTCCTCGTTGCCAGCAAGGGGAAATTGTTGCTAAAGACAGTGCATGAAGAAGCAAGCAAAAACTATCGCTTTGAGGTAGCCGCCACATTGTGCCGACAGAGCAACGGGGCGACGCACGAACGAGATACTTCACTGCGGTCCGCGCCTCGGCAAAAGTGACAAGGCCTCGGCAATTATAACGGGTGGCACAAAAAAAATGGCGCCTCGTCCACTTGGAGTATATATATGTGCTTCTTTCTCTGTCTTCCCCACCCGTTCGTCCATTGCGTGTTCGGACAAGCTTCTCGACGTGCAACATTATCCGTGGAGCCTTTCTCCGTGGAGATCTTGGACGTTCCCCACGATCTTGATGATCTCCATAAAATATTAAATCTCGACAATTTCGTCGATACTACGTTCCTCATTATCGCGAACCATAAACTGTTTATTATACCCGTTTCTGTCATCAAATGAACGACGTAAACTGTTATATGACGGCATAAAGAAGGTATTATTGAAATCTGAGTGTTGCGTTAAATCGAGGGTTTAAATTAATAATTGCAACTAGTAAGATAATGCCAGGTTCTGAACCTATGATCATGCATACGATTACGGATCGATTTAGTCTTTGTACGTGAATTCAATAAATCAATAATGTTCGAACCGGCCTTGATACATTTTTTTGTCGTACCTTGAGAAATGTTTGTGTTTTGAAAGGTCGATAATTTGCTGTTAACTTTACTGCTAATTTTACGCTGGTATATCGGTGCAATAATTGATAAGAATGTTTTATGAAAACATGTCTGCGCACTTCTGAAACGGTACTGGTAGAGACATCTCGCGGTGAGAGTTTAAATTGACAAAACAGAAAATTCTTCTTTTTTGTGAAGAGAGCGATTATTATATGTCGTTACTACGAATAGAATGTTCTACGATCGGAATACAATTTAATTAATTGCATCACGGTGATATCGAATACTTAAAATTGAAAATTAAAGAAAATTCTTTACACGGAAACGGAAGTGCTATATATTAATCAATAGAGTCAATATTAATTGGATTTTTTAAATGGAACAAGTGGCGCCATCTCTCCGGCGAACAGGGTGAACTACACACTTTTGAGACAGTGGTTTAATTAATTCTCATCCCCTACCGCTAGATGGCGACATATAAAATGGAAAACTAAAATAGAAAAAAAATAATTAGGATTAGCCAAGGAATGATTAAAAATAATAATAGTTTAGCAAAATAAAACAGTTCAAACTTAATTGAGCTTGTACTCCAATGCTATTTAATACACATTACAGTAAATTAAGCCAATAAAATTAATATTAAATGGAACAAGTGACGTCATCTAGCAGCGAGATGCGTCAAAACCGCCAAAAATTGACTTACAGAGTTCGATTGTTGATAACGTTTTTTGCCACCAAACGCTCCGAAGGCAAATTTTTTGTACGCAAAACATTTTGAAACTAAGGAACAAGGTTACACGTTGAATTTAATTTTACTTTATAGTCCGACCTCTGAAGGTTAAAATACTGGAGAGAAAGTGTACCATACCTGTAAGTTAACGTACGAAGATAATCGAACAGGTAAATCTCACGTAAATGATTTTATGTAGTCGTAAAAAAAGAACTAATTGTACTTTGTACTTTTTAGTTATGTTTTTGAATTACTTTTGTACGCGTGTATCAAGTAATTTTTGATTCCCTTGCGTATTTTATATCTGTCGTATGCACGGTCCATCGGCTTACATATTTTTCGCGCCATTTGGCGCTGCAAGTGTGTTCAATAGATAATTTTATTGTTAATTTACTGAATATTGTTTATATGATAAAAAATATATTATAAAAATACACTGCATAATTTAAAAAGATGTATATATAAAAGCAAATAGTTATTTTATTATAATGGATCGGACAACAAAACGTCAGAGGATTGATGGAGACTCGATCGTTAATGATATCGCATCGTCTCTTAGTAAGTTTCTTTATATGAACATAATTATTTGTTTTCTAATTATTTCTGTACGTAAGCATTCTTGTCAAATTTATACGAATATAAGTAATATTACATACATATTTTTTATTGTTACTTTCTACTTAAAAGTGAGGTTATGTGGCACCTCCATCTATACAAACACCTGTTGAATGTCAAGCTAATATTTATATTTATTTTTTAATATCAAATAATTTTTTAGGAGAGCTCTCTACATCTATTACATCCATAAGTCAACGTTACAGCGGTTTATTAAAGGTTAATAAGGCAGTGGTGTTATACATGCAAAATGCCAAGATGGACCAGGCATCCCCTGTCGATGAAATAGAAAATAGTTTGAAAGAGACAACCATTGGAAAGGAGTAATAAATGTATATATTGCGTGTAATATTTTGTAGTCATACTGTATATCTTAAATAATTGTATTTCCTCATATCACAAAGTCTTTTGATATATAAAAATACATTCACTTATATCCTGCAATGTTGAATTAATACTATCATATAAATACTATAATTACATATTTTATATTGTAATTAAATGGCACACAGGTAGAGGGTTGAATCGCAAGCATGTTCCTTTAAATAGCTGTCTTTACGAGTCTTGTGTTTTATCGTACAAATATTCCTTATTTGTATTCTGGGTCTTTCTTAGGCTTTCTTCTAGGATCTGTTGCGTCTAATGCTATTATTACCGGTGGTACATTGTCTGTCCTTTGTGTTTGACCAAAACCATAATCAGCACCCTTCGTGGCTGGGAACCAATTCATGGAGAGTGGTACTTGTCGGCACCTAAATCCCATTTTTAATCATTACCGACTATTAAAACTGTTAAAGCTTGTAAAACACAAAATCTTGCATGCTTTTAATAGACACATGGTATATATAAATGAAGCAATATGTTTGAAGAAGGCTACATATTGCTTCAGCTGTTTGTTTGTGATGTTTTCGCAGAAACAGAGATAATGGTATAAAGACATGTAGAAGATTCCACCAAGAGATAATCTTATACAATTAAGGAACAGATTGTAAAAAGTTAGTATTCCATTCTGTTAATATTCGTGCATAAAATTTATAAAACAAGAAAACGATTAAAGACATGATAGGAAGCGTATGGCTTACAAGATATTTAAGAAAGTGGGGTGCAGTGAGAGAATAGAGTTGTGTTATTCCTCTAGTAGTGCTCCTATTGATTCCGCTCACACCTGCACGTGTTCTGGTCGAAGTAAAAGCCAGTGGAACATTCTTGCGCTTCCCTGCAGAAACAGGCACAATGTTCTGGATTCCAAATCTTCGTCTCGCTGTTCTTGTAGCATTTCTCCTCTTCGTCGACGTTGTTGCACATACATCTGCATTCCTCTGGGATGTACAGTTGCTTTTCGTTGCAGTGCTAAGAAAAATAATTTTGAATCTTTAATATTTTTTGCAAGGTGTTCAAGACTAAATTAAGTTAGAGGACATATTCTGGGAATGTATCTGAGAGTGGAAAATTTCTGTATAGTTATATTTCCTTGATGCCCCAAGCACCTGTTTATTTTTAATGGTCAATTCAGCCCTGAGATTACGAAAACAGTTATCTGTGCCCTAGTTCTAACTCTCATCCGGCCAAGGTCCGATAGACTCATTCACCTAGATTTTAAAAAATTCTATATTCTAAAGCCACAGCGAATTGTCACACTTCATAAGAAAGAGAATCAAAGTACAAAATCATCATTTCTATTTAAACGAACTCCATATTGCATAAACGGGTCATCCCGATGTTTCGAAGAACTAAACTTATGCATTCATGCAAGAAAACTGCACCGTAACAGCATTTTACTACGTAAATTTGTAGACCGACTTATACCGAGCTGTACCGGTTTAAAGAAGGAAGCTCCCAATTATCGGCTGTCCTCAAATTACCTCCTCCTTAATTTTGCAGCCGCACTCGCATTTCGTGTGCTCCTCCAGCGGCACGATTCGTTTGCCTTTGTAAGCCAGTCCGATAGGTTCGATCGCCGTCACGACCACCTTTAAACGTAAATAATATTTAGAATCATCCGTGATCAAGTTGGGTAATCGTTGACGTCAAGTCGTCTGACTTATCAGAATGACGAACCTCGAAATTTCTGGTATCCACCGCGGTTGGTTGGCAGGAGAACAACGAGTGGTTGCAACAACCACCGCATCTCTTGACCCTGGTGCAGGAAGGGAAATAAAACGTGGAAGGATCGTCGTCTTGTTTCAGAGGAACTGTCTGTAATTCTGGCATACATGTGGCTGCAGTCGGTTTTTCAGCGTTCGAGCGTTCACCGGCCTCTCCCATCCTACCTGTGAAGCAAGGTCATTATGAGAAATCTTCGATACCTGTTAGAGTTAGTCAGAGAATTTTCCTCCTCCTATAATTTCACCGTGGTTTCTGCGGTTTCTCGTTACTAAGTATATCCGAATTTCAAGTATTCGGATTACCGGTTTCGATAGTGGAGCTGTTACGAAAGTTTGAATATTTTACTTGGAGCGATGCGTTGATTAGCGATGATAATTCATATGTGAAACTCAATGATATTGTAACACTTTCTCATAAGGTTAGTTGAATTTCTGCACCCTCTCATGGAGGGTGCATTCGAATCGATGCATTCACACGCAGGTAATTTAATTATGCAAAGTTTTATGATTACATTTAGGGTTGTAGAGTTCTCCTATTTCACTGTAATGGTTGCACTTCTAGGTAGAAGAATGGACGAACGCATGCAAGCGATATCATTCGCGAACAGTTACTTCGCCTTGGTCGACGGCCTAGCTTCCGGTTTGGAGAACCACCTGTCCGAGGACGTGGTGCTCGACTGGTTCGGTAGAACGGTTAAGGGCAGAAGAAACGTGACCACGTTCATAGAAGCCCACAAAGTGAACTCCAGACACATATTTTCGCAAATAGTACCGGTTGCCGGTATCGGTTACAAGAAGAAGCAATCAAACCGGTGAGATAACTATGAAATCAAGTTAAATCAACAATCATTACTTAGCAGCAAGCTACCACTTGAAACAAGAGCAATAAACGATAGCAATTGAATTTTCTTCATTCTTTTTCCTAGGAAGAAGCATCACTCGTATCGAAACAAGAGCACTCAAGAGTCATCCAACAATCCCTGCGATAAAGATAACGAATTAAACGAAGAAAGGTTTGTGGAGGAACCGGAAGTACCTCCAAAACGCAACATCACCAAAGATATTAATCAGAACGAGATCGACGTGAAGGTGGACGGCGAAATGGACGATATGACGTACGATCTGTGCGAGGGTGATCTCAGTAATCTTTTCAAGCTCGAGATCGCGTCAACCAACATAGAAGAGATCGAGCAAAGCATTAATAGGATAAAATTGGAAGAGGAAATGGCACCAACTATCAAAGCCATCAAGAGAGAGTGCGGCCAAGGAGATGGTCCCGATATTGTCGAAACCAGCGCGGTGAAATATATGGAGGCTAGTGGGGAGATCGAGTTCTCCAAGAAATTTTGGAAGCGTGGTGAGAAATTATTTTTTCGAGTTGGGTATTTTGGGGAGGTGGAAATTTTGGGAGATGGGAATTTGAGGGGTAGGGAATTTAGGGAGATGGGAATTTGGGGGGTGGGGAATTTGGAGAGATGGGAATTTAGAGAGATGGGAATTTGAAGAGATGGAAATTTGAAGAGATGGGAATTTGAAGAGATGGGAATTTGGAAAGATTGGAATTTAGAGAGATGGGAATTTGGAGAGATGGGAATTTGGAGAGATGGGAATTCGGAAAGATGGGAATTTGGAGAGATGGGAATTTAGAGAGATGGGAATTTGGAGAGATGGGAATTAGGAAGATGGGAATTTAGGAAGTTGGGAATTTGGAGATATGGAAATTTAGAGACTTAAGAATTCAAATACTTAAAAATTTAGAGATTTGAATGTCGAGAGATGGGAATTTGAGGAGTTAGGAATTTGAGAAGTGGAGATTTCGAGGAGTTCAGAATTTACATATCTAGGAACTTGAAAATTGAATAAATTCTAAATCTTGCATCACACAATCCTTTCCGTATCTCGAATCCTTCATAAATAATAAATCCAAGAATACTTCACCCAAGCGGAACGAATTAGCATAAAAAGCGTAATAGAAATCTGGTTTGATTCGATCACAGATACATGGAACGCGTATATCACAGCGGCGACCAACATTCACACTTGGAGACGGCCATGTAAATTGCAAATCGCGTACACAGTTTCATGTGAACAGCCAGCCTTGGAATCTCGAAGCAGCAGAAACAGTCGCTTTGGACAGCCAAAAGCTAGACTACCTACTTTGGAGGAAATCAATGAGATGAGCAACAAGTTGGTGCCTAATGAAAACCATTTCGGAGGTTTCTTGAAGGAGATCGATTTTTTCGAAGATCGAAAACGGTTTCTGAAGAGTCTGGGAGCAGAGATGATGTTCAAAGATCCTGACACGCCATTGTTCGCTCCTCAGTATCAGAGAAACAAATTGGTTTTCAATAAACCGTGTAGTAAAAGGGATGAAAGCAAGGATGCTAAGAAAAGATTTATCTTCAATTATCAGATTCATCTGATCATTTACGAAGGTACTAATAAATGCAAGATGAATCTTTTGCACGAATTTGAGAAAACAAGAATTTAGGATCAGGTCCTAAATTTCATTTTTTTGCATTGTTTTCCGAATAAATTTTTTTGGGGACAAATTATTGTTAGAATATTTTTTTTTGAGGTTCGTCAAAATTATTTTGTCGAACTATCGTTTCAAAGTTTCGTAAGGTACAGTGATGAAGTACAAGCCAGTTAAGTATTTTTTTTAATTTTGATTTTGATACCGTGTGGTACTCTCGTACCGTAGTTATGAGATAATCTTATCATTAGTCTCAGTCTTGTTTACTAGCAATAATTTGTTCGTTAAACATAGAAGGAGTTAAGTGCAGCTGGTACTTGCGCTATCGTAAAATACTTGCTCTGTGACGCAGTATTTTGTTTATTATTACGTTATTGTACGGTGGTACGCTGAATTGTTATGTTATCGTGAGAGAATGATCACAGTTATCTTGTAGCTCGAATAAAGTGCGACTAACAGATCATGCTTGTTTCTTGCAGAGTATCTTAACCGGTTTTTCTTACTAATAAGTATTTTTGTAGACTCATAATGAGTATCGTAATAACTCTTGTGAGTGACGTAAGTATAGGGTAGGCTTGGTTCTCAAATTGTGGACTTAGTCGTTTTATTTAAAGGGTGGTTAAGGGTGGGATACTGAAAGGGTATTTTACAAACTTTTGATTCTGTAAATTTTCAACTCTTCAAATTTTCAGATATCTAAATTTCCAAGCTCCCAAACTCCCAACCCTTTGAGTTTTCAACCCTTCAAATTTTCAACCTTCTAAATTTTCAATCTATCAAATTTTCAACCTTCTAAATTTCCAACTCTCCAAATTTCCAAGCTCCCAAATTCCCAACCCTTTGAGTTTCCAACCCCTCAAATTTTCAACCTTCTAAATTTTCAATCTATCAAAATTTTAAACTTCTAAATTTCCAACTTTCCAAATTTTTAAATCTCTAAATTTCCAACTCTCTAAATTTTCCACCCTTCAAATTTTCAACCCTCCAAATTTCCAATCCACCAAATTCTCAACTCTCTAAATTTTCCACTCCTCAAATTTTCAACCCCCCAAATTTCCAATCCACCAAATTCTCAACTCTCTAAATTTTCCACCCTTCAAATTTCCAACCCTCAAAATTTCTAATCCACCAAATTCTCAACTCCCTAAATTTTCCACTCTTCAAATTTTCAACCCCCCAAATTTCCAATCCACCAAATTCTTAACTCTCTAAATTTTCCACTCTTCAAATTTTCAACCCTCCAAATTTCCAATCCATCAAATTTTCAAACTTTCAAATTTCCAACCTTCTAAATTTTCAAATCCCCAATTTTAGAACCCTTAAACTTTTTAATTAATAAATTCTCAAGTGTTCAAATCTTCTCATGCAGAGTATCAACATTATTACAAAAGTTATGGAACCTAGCCCACCCTAAATAAAAATTCCACTCACACCACTACATTTCACTAGTAAATAATTACCCATGAAAGTACTTACCAGTAATAGAGAACTCTGTCTCAGGAACACCATGGACAAGTTTAAGAAACTCATCAACCGACGTAATAGAATTGAGTCTCGACGCCAACTCCAGCGATTTCTGAAAAAAATAACATTACTAGTCTAACGTAATTGTTAAAGAACTATTACACTTTCTCACAGAGTATTACAACATCATTCTCGCACCAGATAATACGATCGAGAATGATCGATTGATAAAGTCCGAGTTTGATAATTCGATTTCAGTAGATGTCATCACCTTGGTATGAAAATAATTTCCGTTTATCGATGAACAAGTTTTTCTTTTCTTGAAACAAACGTGTTAATCAGCTGTTTTTTAAGTTCTGCTTTGCATAAGAATGCTGATCTTTTGTTATGCATATCGCGTGTTTGGGAAGTGAAGATCGTGTGAACAAATGTTCGGATGAATTATGGGTTGTTTTAGAGATACTGGCATTTTGTTGGAAAAAGGTATGTATTTAACAGTTTTGCGATTGTTGGGACGTGTGTTAGTATGGCTGTGCTGAATTGCGTCGAACTGCAGTTGTTTCTAATTGCAAATGCGTTGAATTGGGGTGCGTTGGATTGTGGGGTTATCGAATTCTAATCGCACCGAATTCCAATCATTCTGAACATCAATCGCATCGAGTTCCAATCACACCGAGTTCCAATCACACCGAGTTCCAATCACACTGAGTTCCAATTACACCGAATATCAATCACACCGAGTTCCAATCACACCGAGTTCCAATCACACCGAGTTCCAATCACACCGAGTTCCAATTACACTGAGTTCCAATCACACTGAATTCCAATCACATCGAGTTCCAATCACACCGAATACCAATCACACCGAGTTCTAATCACACCGAGTTCCAATCACACCGAATTCCAAACACACAGAATACCAATCACACCGAATTTTAATCGCCCTGAATACCAATCGCATCGAGTACCAATCATACCGAGTTCCAATCACACCGAGTTCCAATTACACCGAATATCAATCACACCGAGTTCTAATCACATCGAGTTTCAATCACACCGAATTCCAATCACACCGAATTCCAATCACACCGAGTTCCAATTACACCGATTTCCAATCACACCGAGTTCCAATCACACCGAATACCAATCACACCGAGTTCTAATCACACCGAATTCTAATCGCCCTGAATTGCAACGCGTCAAATTTCAATCACCCCGAACTGCAACGCGTGGAATTTCGATCGCCCCGAAATGCAACGCGCCGAATTTCAATCGCCCCGAGTTGCAATTGCCCCGAATTGTAACGCGTCGAATTTCAATCGTCCCGAATTGCAACGCGTCAAATTTCGAAAGCTCCGAATTATAACGCGTGGAATTTTCATCGCCCCGAATTGTAACGCGTGGAATTTCCATCGCCCCGAATTGCAACGCGCCGAATTTCAATCGCCCCGAGTTGCAATTGTCCCGAGTTGCAATTGCCCCGAATTGTAACGCGTGGAATTTCCATCGCCCCGAATTGCAACGCGTGGTATTTCAATCGCCCCGAGTTGCAATTGCCCCGAATTGTAACGCATCGAATTTCCATCGTCCCGAATTGCAACGCGTCAAATTTCGAACGCCCCGAATTGTAACGCGTGGAATTTCCATCGCCCCGAATTGCAATAGCCCCGAATAGTAATTGCACCGAATACTAATTTCCCCAAATAGTAATCGCCCCAAATACTAATTGGCCAAATTCCACTTGCACCTAACTTCAAACTCAAACTCCACCGCCGCCATTTTGTAATTCCTAAGTTCCCCAACCTCCAAATTCAAATCCCACCTCTCATAAATCAATTTCCTTAACTAAACACATCATACAAACATCATCATCCTGAACATTCAATCATAAAAAATCTGATAAAAGTAAGACCGGTGTGTCAATAATTATCACAGGTATTCCCCCGCCAATAATTGACTCGTGAGTCATTTCGATAGCGGATCCGACTGGTTACACAATTGCGAAACGCTTACTGGTCAAGTATCCAAGAAATTCTTTAAGAATTCACAGTTTCGTGACCAGGATTATTCAAACTGTTATACGGAAGCTTTGAAATGTAACACAAATTGCGAGAGCTGTGGATTTCTATGCAACGCGTGATCGTTAAAATGTTAATAGGTTTGCGATCGGTAGAGGTGTTAAGAGTGAATCACCAAAGGCATGGTTAAAAAGCATTTCCCTGTAGTTTTTTGCGAGAGGCGTCCAAATCGAGAGTCTGGGTCCTAAACGTTTGCCTTCTTGCTTGGAACAGGTTTTTGACAAACCACCTGGACGGCGAAAAGGAATAAAAATTCGGTTCTTAGAAGCCTTCGGTTAATGTACCTTTGATAGGTTTGATCTTTCGGGTTTTTACACTTTGATTGCTGAGGATTATTTTTAGTGTACTGTGTATGAGTAGTACAGGGTAGTGGTTTGTAAAGATAGTACAAGGTGTACAAGGAGTACAATCCTCCCTCCAGGAGGAGGGAGTAGTATGTGCAAGAGTGGTATATAAGTACTTGTGTATTAGTACAAGGGTGGTATATAATTATAATTATAATATGTGCAAGGGTGGTATATAAGTACTTGTATATTAGCACAAGGGTAAGAGTATACATCATAAGGGTAGTATACACTGTAAGAGAAGTCTTCAAGATTAATACTCAAGAATGATATAATACGTAAGGGTTGTATACAACATAAGAGTAATATACACTGTAAGAGCAGTCTTCAAGACTAATACTTAAGGATGATATATAACGTAAGGGTAGTATAACACATAAGAATAGTATACACTGTAAAAGTAGTCTTCAAGTTTAATACTCAAGGGTGGTACATAAAACAAAAATAATAGCATACATCACAAGAGTAACATGCAAGACTGATATGTTACCTTAAATACTCATGGGTGGTGCACAACATAAAAATAATATTTGCACTGCAAATAATATCCACAAGTATATAAAAATAATTCACAAGGATGCTATGCAACATAAAAGCGGTCCACACCAAAAATACATAAAAATAATAAATATTATATGCAAAGTGTGGTAACGGTATGCAAATCAAGATTACGCACGCAGCGATTTACATAATCGAGAAATGCCGTCTCGAGACATTGTACGAATTCTCCAGGAACCGTTTCTAGCTTCATAATCCGACAACGATTTGCAGAATTTTTTATTGATACATTATAATCGTTTGTGACGCGACTGTGGTTGGAAGTCGACCTCCAATAGGCTCCTCACCTTGCAGCGTTTGCGAGAGTTTTGTTAATCGTAACCTAAATTTCTCTTTCGAGGATTAGTCAGCAAGTAGGGTTATTCAAAACAGAATATTAACTTCTGAATTCTTCACTTGATGGACTTAGACTAAACTAGTAATTAAGTCTTTTTTTTATAGTGAATTTTATAGTGAATTGTGCTAATCGGATCTTGTTACGTTTGTGTATAATTATGTTAACATATGGCGATTCGAAAGAGATAGAAATCTAGGAATGTATTGACGTAACGTGTTCAGATTTTATAGATCATTCGATCGTCATCATTCGATCTCACCTACCAAAAATTACGAAACACCGAAATCTTTCCTAAAATCTCTCCTTATTATAATATTAATTACGTTCCTGACCGCAATCAACGATCCCTGTCCCGCTAATCGATAAAATTAGAAGACTTGCCAGGTAATCGGCTAAGTATTCGCAAGAACGAATGACGCCGTCCGATCAATTACCTATATCTATATCGAACCACGGTATCCGTGAAGAGAATTCGAAATGTTCCGTGATATCCTTGACCATTAGCGTTACTCGTCCTTCGACGTCATCAGGAGGTCTTTGCGGGAAAAACGCTCCCGTTCGCCTGGAATGTCGTAACAATCGGTCTATCGCGGTCGAATAGGAAGTAGCTCCTTCCGATCCTAATTCATGCTAACAAGCGCTCGCTGAATAATGGAAAAAACGTGATTCGTGAAACGGATGGAGCTCCGGATTATTTGTTGGCGCCTTCCTTTCGTCACGCATTCGGGATGACATCACGGTGCTACCTTTTTAGAAATCAAGCTTGGAACACGCTGCTACACGGAAATTGACTGCAACTGTAGCATTCTTTTCGAGGCAAACATTTATGAGGATTAATTTTGGGACAAGTGTAGGGTTCTGAGTCGCTTTGGTTCCAAGTTAGTTTATTTTGAAGTTCGATCCTTAGGTATGGAAATTTGAATCTTCATATCTTCAGATTGATAATATTGGGATATTGACCTGAAGATTTGTTTAACTGTAACTTAATTTTTTTTAATGGATTCTGACTTTGTGCCAAATGCACTGTGTTATTTTTTAATATTTCTGTAGGACTGTGGTTCAAACTTCCTCATACTTTTTAACGTGTTTAAATAATTACTGAGCTGAGTAAGGTTTCTTTAAGTTTGACGAATGTTGAGAACCTTAAAATTTTGTTCAATTTTTGTTTAAAAAGTTCGTGCTTTAAGTCAAGAATTTATGAAAAGAGAGTTCTTAGTCAACTTTCGAACGAAGAGAATCGGTTTTACGAGAGCATTAAGTATGCCATAACGGAACTAGACGTTATCATAAAGTTTCTAATTCCAAACAACATTCCAATCGACTGCTAATCGAGCTAATTATCGGCTATAAGTGCGCTCGAGTTCAACGTAGACTTCCTTCGCTGAGAGGTGGGGTATCTTTTATTACACTCGATCTGAGAGAAACTCAAAAATTTCTAAAATTCCCATAGTTTCAAACTCTCATTAAATCTCTAAACCTTGAAATTTTCAAATGTCCTAAATTTTCTTTAGAAATTGTCAGTGTTTCCTTTGCCAGCACATCGCGAATGCGACACATGGCAGTACCTTGCACGTACGATAAATTGGTTTTTAAACTATACCGCAGCGTATTACGTTTATCGTGTACGGTCTTCACAATGCTCTCGGGACAACATAATTGCGCTATTTGTCCAAGCGAGAACGTGGGAGTGTTACGACGCGAGACTTGAGAGCAAAATCGTTCCATCGTAGCAACCAATTTTCTCTTCACCCTGGTCAACCTCCTCGGACGTATATACACGTCGAGATTCGACTACTGACAAGTTACTATTCAATCAAGGTTCTTACTGCACAATTTTTGACATAAGACTGCACAAGTCTTAGAATCGATGTTCTCTGTCAAAATTAACCCTGTACATTCTGCAGAATTAAAAGCTATCAGCAAATATTAGTGACAGGTTACAATCAGAACAGATGTTTAAAAATTGACACATATTTCTACAAGACAAAGGTCTTGTGGAGAGAAGGTAAAAATTAGGATAAATTAAAGATTAATTGTAAAACAAGTCTAAACCATGTGGTTGTAAGACTAAAAAGCAAAGTCCATTCCAATAACAGTTGACAAAGTATGAAACTGACTTTACAGTAAAACTGAAAGTATACCAGAAACAATTTGTTGACATGTTAGCAACACATTGCAACAGTGATTTCAAAATCGAGACATATCTTCATAAACTAGATGTCTTCACATATCTTCATATGATTGATACAATATGATAACATCAAGTATCGATGTTTATTTGCTTTGACTTCGCTCCAAAAATATCAGTCGAATTAATCCTACCGCAATGTGCGTCACCAAGAATGAAAGATGGATGGCGAAGTCTCGCTGGTGCAAGGTACACGTACGAAAGGCGGAAAGTTGTATTCAATTTACCGTCAGTTGGTTGTCGCTGGGGAGTTCTGGTGGCACGCCAGGTCTCGACTTCCCATTGCTTCTAGCGATGGGACCAGGGAACACCAAGCTGTCAGGGTCACCATGGAACTTCGGGTCGTCGTTCTTTGCGACGACCAGTCCGCAGATAACAGCGAACACAAACGTTTTGTACCTGAAGCGATACATCACTGCCTTCTTTGTACTCGAAGTATCGAGAGGGAAAGTCTCGAAGTATCGAGACGATTCACCAGCGTGCAAAAGTAAAGGGTATCCGCTCTAGTAATTTGGTAGGAACTTAACACGTGTTTACGAAGCACACGGTACAGCAGCTCGCATTGCACTCGCACGGGAAAACCGCGAGTCACACCTGAGCAGGTTCCTCTGCTCGCGTCGCGATCGACTGCTCGAGCGAACGCGGCCCGAAGCGTATTTCTGCTCACACACACGCGAGACCACCACGCATACGAATCGCGATACAGCACACGATCAAGTCGTGATACGCGGCAACGCTCGCTCTTTTCGTGAAAATTCTTCGATCTTTATCAGAACGACGTTATCGCGACTTCAGATTATTTGTCTTCCGTTTCTTATTTTTTTGAGTTGTACGAAATCGGAATGGTTTTCGTATCGGAAGTTCTTGTGGTCGTTGCGAAACGAAATGTGTCCTGACGCATGTAGGAAATCCCACCTTTGAAATATACGTCTTCGTTCTTTAGGTTTATTGATAAGGTGGGTAGGTCAGGCAATTTCTGGAGATTGCTTCACAATTTTTAGATAACAGAGTTTTGTGTTTATTGTAACTGGATTTGGGTTTGATGCTTTCTACGTCCTCGTCCAAAATTTTATAACTTATTTCTTTTTCATATTGTGTTAGAAATTTCATAGACTCGGAAAGGTGCTAATATGGAAAAGATAGTCTTCCTCGTTCCTATTTAATTACCTTCCTATGCACTTTTACCATTTACAGAATGCCTTAGGTTCGGAATAATCGAATGAGCACTAGCGAGAAAACGGACGCGAATACCGAGAATGAGCCACCTAGCGCCGAGTGCAGACAACACTATAGGTAATAGAAGGTATTGAATACTTTGCGGGTGCCAACAGGAAAAATATTCAATCAGAAAAAATTCCGAAATACTATATAACGAATGCAGAGTACAATGCCTATCTTAAATTTGTAAAACCGAAGAGCTAATCACCTTGTTCAATATTATATCTTTTAATCTTGAAATTATAAATTTAATAAAATGCTGTGAATATGAAAGAAACTATAAACTAAGGGTTAATTGTTATCTTTGATACCCAATTTGACCCGACTTCATTCCCTTGCGTTGACGTCTCGAGAACAGATTTTCTTGCATGACAGAAGAATTAAACGAGAGCGTAGGTGTTGGAATTTGCGTGCAAAGTTAAATTATTCGCGGGCTGCCCTCCATAACGACGTATCTCAAGGTGGTAATTTATTTAAAACGTGATATATGTTTAGCACCGTTTTCCTGTGCCCTCTTACCCTAATCTATTGTCAAATAGGGCTGGAATAATTTATTAAATCAAGAATAGTTTCTTTAATTGTTTTTATAAGTTCTTTACAAAAGAGTTTTTATATATTCTTTACAGCACAGAGAAGTGGACATTTTTTTGAACATTTTTATACTATTGCGGATAATTTTATTTTATGTAGGTTCATGTAGGATTTTATGAATCATCTCGAGTGTCATGCATTCCAGGCATGGTTTAGACTTACTATTACATGAAATACTTAGGTACCTCATCTTCTTGTGTCATATCCTGTAACATAAAATTAGAATTGTACTTTTTCAAACGGACTTTACTACTTTTACTTGTACCATACTTTATCAAAATATAAATAGCAACAGATATGTTTAATATGATATTGTTAGTTTTATCATTGCAATCTAAAAACACTTTCAGGTGATTCTACGAATCGATACCAATCAATATCTTTTATTTTTAATCATTACGAGCTACTTATCTATCGGTATATTTCCTCAACGATTATCGTGATCATGATTTAATCACAAAACAATTTTTTTTCTTCAGATGGTTCTTGCGTAAATGATAAATCTTATCGCAAGAAAAATAATTTTTTTATTAACTAGTTCTATAAGTAGCCATTTTACGAACGCGTCATGTATGCGCAGGTGCGTGAATTCATGAAGTGTACGATTAGATTTAATAAAAAATGATGAACATATAAAATAACGTAGATCGCAAGTTAAGTAAGAGATCTACATTATCAAATACCAAGTGAAGTTATCGATGACCAATAATCTGTATCTCCAAAAGAGTTATCTTGTTCAAATACCAATTGCAGTAAAACATAAAATTGTAAACAGAAGTAAATAAAATTTCTTTTAATACTTACGATACTTCGTTTTATAGATATAACTTTTCTACAGCCAACGTTTCGAATGTATCTGTATCCAGGTGCACAACGTTTTCCACCGTTGGTATTCTTCCTCGTCGGAAATGTCAGAGGTTTGCTTTCGCTTGACACGATGAACATTATTAAAAAGAGCGCGAAAACAATAAAGCGTGACGGTGCCATGATTTTGGTAAACTAAAGTTTTCGAATACAAGTTGAGAACCAAGCATAAGGGAACTGTAGTCCTTTTATTATAATTCCCCACTCTATATTCGCCCTGTTCGCACTAATTTGCGGTTTTATATCTTAATTACGCACAATGTGGTTTGCTTTTGATAATTACGTCTATTACTTAGAAGATATCGTCGGAAAACCAATTAACAATGAATAATTTCCTCAGATACACTATCGCTGAATAATTAACTCAATCATAAGTTGACGAATGAAAAAACACAAAAATCAAGGTTTATTATAAACAAACATTTATTTATGATTCACTATACTCAGTTTTTGAGTGATTGAACAAATAATTGCATCCTTTATAGTTTACATGTACAAGTTAAATACTTAACTAATAATTATTTAACGACTAATAATTAAACAGGTTTTGCTTCGTAACAAATCTGTTTATGGAATATTGAAATTAAATTGCTTTGTTTAATGACGCCACTCGATAATCCCAACCTCCTGAGATTAATTATTTATTCTTCTTTTGTATTTCATCTTCTAATTTTGATGTTTTTTATTGAATTCGAAATTCTGCTCGATGGGTAAGTTCGGTGTACTTCTTTATCGGTAGATCATTTCCCTCCATGTTTCCTTTACTGATAGAAGGTATAACCACGGTTAATAATGATCTACAGCTGAAACAAAAACAGTCGATACAAAATTGTAAGATGTCTCTTTACCCTCATAATTTCACACATCTTACTATCACACATTCCAAAACGATGCTCTCTGTTTTATTTTACAAAACACTGTTACAAAATCTAAAAAATTGGGATGCAAGTAAAAACTCTTCTTCGTAGAAATTATCTCCACACCCATTATCTTAAGATTAATACAAATTAAATTTAAATATTTCATCAAGCTCTGAGCTATCAAAAGCAAGTGTCAATTAGCAATGCTTTCAATAAGATATAAATTATCAAAACTCGTAATCGTTTCGCAAGAAAATCTTCACAAGAAAAAAAGTCTTTTTGTTTACACAAAATTATCCAACTTTCTGATGCGAAGTTTCTACTCACTTAAAACAGAACTCTGCAGCGGTTTCCAATTCTGACCATGTCGGGCCGACAATTAGGTGGAACATTTATAAAGGATCCCGTTTCAACTTTGGTGCCCGTGAATAGTATAAATTCCGTTTCCTCCTCGACCGAATTCGATTCCGCGACACTCTCGTACAAAACGAGGAGGAACACGAACATACTCAGCACGACGAGCTTCATATCGCAGACAATACTAAGCGTGGAATGCACTAAAGCAGAGTAACGTGGTCAATCACGGACTGAAACCATCGAAGGGTATATCGCGAGTTCCATAGCTTGTGGTGACACTATCGACTAAGAATTTTTACGACTCGGCATTGGCGTCATGGAACGCTTATGCGATCTGGTCCTTCTGTTTCCAACAAGGTTGAAAGGAAAACTCAGGTTCACCTTTCCTTATTAACCACACGTCAATTACATTCCGGATGATTACATAATTTGGGAATTTGTCAACGCACAAACAGTAGTGGAGCTCAAATAATTCACTGAAATTAGGACTCTGGAGTTGCTAGAAACTGTTATAGTTTAGTACACTTTTTAGGTGGACATGTTCCGTTTCTGTTTGATCTTAGGTTGCTACTGAGACGAGGTCCGACGCGCTTAGTAGCGATAACCTTTGATGATACTTCACAGAGACGTATCGGTAGACGAATCAAGCTCGAGATATAGGGATTTTAACATGTTGAGATTGTGGAATGTAGACATATAGAGATGTGAGAGACCTAGAAAGGAAGCGAGAAGCATAGGATGCTTCTAAATGTGCAAACTTTCATAGATACAGAAATTTAGGAAATGTACATCCAGTAATGTAGGAATCAAGGAATATAGATCTCTGAATGATTAGATCTACATATCCCTATATTCTTATGCCTCTAGTAACTGTAACCTCAGTAACTTTACAATCTTCTAAACACCTAAAATCCTTACATCCCTCTCATCTTCATATCCACAAATCCAAGAACATAGACTCCCTATGTATCAAGCTTCCTAAAATTTGAGAGGATTTGAAATGTTACTAAGAAACTCTACTCTAATGAAACGCGATAACCATCGATGACCACTCAAACATTTCAGTACTTCTGCTCATTTGAAACTATTAATATAACCATGAGTTTGTTCAAATTTTGCATAATAAAATATGCGTCGCGAACAAGGTTCGTCGATTTTTGTTGAACAATCGGAACAGAACGTGGCGCCATCACACGTTCGCCGCGATAGTAATATAAAATGGTCGCGGCATGTCGCACGAGATAAGCGTCTCTTAGCCACGTTAAATCGTGACAAATGATTGGTGGTCTAGAAGTTCTGCTGCGTTGCAAATTTTTCACCTTATCATCACTAGAACATTGAAAGTCATAAGAATTTTTAATCGCTCGTATCTGTGTATGGATCGACGGACCTCTCCGCGGTGTAATCATCGTTTCCGTTTCTATAGATTATGCTTTTATTTTCAGGTTGCTGTTCGTAGATGGAATAAATTGCTACCGTGTAATTGCACTTTCGGATGTTTTATTTTATTGAAGGATGTTTGCTTGTTTGGAACGGAGCTTCGGGATAACGAGTTAAGGGATGATCAAGATTTTGGCAATTTGGGAGTTGGAGGTTTTAGAGATTTTGGAAGGTGGAGATTTGGGGATTTGGGGATTTGGGGATTGAGAAGTTTAGGGATTCGGGAAATTTAGAGATTTGGAAATTTAGGGTTTGAGAAATTGGGGAATTGGGAAATTTAGAGGTTCTGAATTGTAGGAATTTGGGAATTGA